ACAAACTTTTAACTTGAGCTTGTCCAGACCCAGAACTGTATATATCAATACATAATTAATAAAAAGGGCAAGTACTATACTTGGGGATCATTTTAAGCTATTCATTTAAGTAGTAAATCAGTTAAATAATTACATTCGGTGCTGCTGGGTTTTCAGCCGTTGGTGAGTCAAGGAAACAGGAATTGCTTGTTCCTTGACCATCAGACAATTAAGGAGAAGGAGGACTTTGAAACCCATATTTAAAGCAAACTTGTGGGCTCAAGTGTCTAGATTTACTAGATGATCAATGAATAGCTATTTCCTTAGTATTTGCTAGAAATCACATAAGTCAGAAGGGTTACAAATCTTCTGATTCTTAAAGGAAGCAAAGCCATTTCCGGGCTACAGTGTCTCAAAGAAAGCCAGGTTCCTGGAGCCATCAGTGCTGAGCGGAGATGCTATGAAGAAGAGCAGAAGTGGAAGCCCTGAGACTCCCTCCTGACAGTTTGCAGGAGGCCACACTTGTATTTCCTCCTGGCATTATCTTTCCCTCTCAGGACAAAATCCTATTTTGACCCCACGTGCGTGACAGGAGCCCTCTGTCCTCACCCTGCAGAATTCAGGCCCGGATTAAGGAGTTGGAAGAGATGGTCGCTCCCTGGCCAGCGAAGCGCCCTGGAGCAGCCACTGGCTCCTCCTCCCTGGACAGGCCGAGGAAAGAGGAAGATGGAATTCCCCATCCTCACCGATCCAACAGATTTCTCAACACAACATAGTGAGAGGAGAAGGGAGCCTCAGAACATTCTAGTAGGGGGTTCATTTATCAGGGCAATTTGCAAAGATACAGCAGAAGCTTGGAAAGTGGGGAGGCAATGCTGAGCTATCACTTCTGGGACGAGCATATTATGAGGGGTTAGTTTTACATACATCCAAGGGATCTGGAAGAACTGGGATGAGTGAGCTCTGCTGTCCGGGCACATCCACTTCGCTCAATGATCAGCCACTGAAAGCATTCGTTTATTTTAAAGTAGGGAAAGAGGATTATGACACAGAATGCAAATTTCTTGGAAACGTTTAAGATGGAGCATAAGACTTCAAAGACACTCCCTCTTCAACTCCATGTCCAGATCACTTACTTCACCTGTGCTTTAGTGGAAAAGCTGGAGTAGCGATGGGTCCTGCCAACCATATGTAAACACGTGCATGGATGTGCCTGTGTACATATGTGAGCATGTGTGTAATTAGTAAATCTAAACAACTGATCTGACTCATTAGCATTATCTAAAGCAATACATCACTTTAATACCAAGTTTTATCCTCTGCCGTGCCACGACCTTCAGATCACGTATCCTCAGCCGGAACACTCCGTAAGGGGATGTGTCTTTCTACAAAGACACCAGGTCCGTTGGCCTCTCACTGGGGACACTAGTTTTGATGATCCACGTGAGATTTTGCCTGGATTTCCTCACTAAATAGATACTATTCCCCCCACATGTACAAGGAGTCAAAAATCTCTGGGGAAGCTCTTTGAGACCATGAGAATATTCTGCTCAAAAATTCCCCTGAGGTTTAGCAAATACTGACCACCCTCTGCCCTAGTCAGTCTTGGCCAACACGGTTGCCAAGTGGTGAATTTCCCATCCCCACAATAGCCCGTCGGCATCCCAGGGTGCACTGCACTCCTTCCCACCTGCCGTTACCTGTGCAGTGAGTTCATCTCTGTGATATCAGTTCATCCTTTTTCCTGTCATTAAGGACACGTGGATTTCTGTTTCCTTCAACAGGCAATAATCCATTCCCTGTCCTTTCTTATTTTGAGGCTTAAGCTGCCCAGAGGTAACCAGCTGGAGCCCTTTCACACTGTCACTGTCCTGCTGACATGGCCTCGCTCTTGGTCTGAGGGCTCCCTTAGTTTCTGGCACAAAATATTCCAGGCATTTTTGTAGAACGGTGGGGGGTATCTTCCCTGCCCAAGTCCCGAAATTAGCAGTTCTCTAAGGAACCCTGGCCCCTGTTAGTGGGGAGTGGTTTGTGGAAGCTGGGATCTGGGTTCTAGATGTGCTCATTGCTACCCGGATGCCCTGCTTCGGGCCCCTTCTATGGACAGAGGTGGAGTCTCTTTCGGACGCCTTCCAACCAGTCTCTTCCCACAAGTGTCTGTCTGCCTTGTCTTCCCCCGTTTACACATTTGCTCCACCCTACCATACTCACAAAATAGATTCAGAATCGCTACTCTCATGCTACCGCAAAGAACACAAAAGGAAATTTAAGACTCATTTGCTGTAATCTCTCTGCCTCCCACTAAGCCGAGGGCAGTCAAAGTACTGGGCTCGAAATGCAACACTGTGTGTACCCACTACATTCAAAAGGCTTCTTTCTTTTCCCCCCGCCCTTTCTGGATCATTTTTTGTTCATCTGAAACGTAGTTCATTTAGTTCTGTTTGCATTCACTACTAGCTTTCTTTACCCTATTCTTGTTGATTTTAGTTTTTGCATGCATAGAACCCCAGCCAGCTTTCGAAAGTCAAAACTATACAAAACCATCAGAGACGGCTCCCCCGTCCAGATCTGTGTTTTTTTTTTTTTCAAAAGTAAGCAGATATACAATATCTTATTTCCTCTTCTTTCTTATGCAAAACTTAGAACACTATTTGGGCGCTTGCATTTTGCTCATCTTAGCAATAGTACCTGGGAAATCATTCTGTATAAACCAGTAGCAACCGCCTCCATTCTTGTTTTTAACTCTAAAGCTCCATCATCACGTACGTACCACAGTTTATCCAATCCATCTCTTATGTTTGGGTATTTGGGTAACTCCCAATATTCTTAAATTACAAGCAATTTTGCATGAACAAACTTGGGCATATTTTCATGTTGTTGGTAGTTCATCTTCAGGGTTCATGCCTAGAATTGCGGTGGCAGGGCCAAAGGGTAAGTGTGAAGCCCCCTGCACAGAGATTCCCTCATTCTGTCTCCCCACAAGCAATGCACGAATGTCTCTTCTCCCACAGCCTCACCAACAGAGGATATAGTTCTTAACTTCTGCCACCCTGATAGGTGAGAAACGGTCTCTCACAAGTTTGCACTTTTCTTACCGTGAGTAAAGTTGTACATCTTTCATGTGTTTAAGACCCATTTTTCTTTGTTGTGAATTGTCCACTCAGGTCTTTTGCTCACTTTTTTTTCCCCATAGGAATTTTGGGAGTTTCCCCTCAAATTTTATAAATTCTTCATATGCTAAGATGATGATGATTATTTATGTGTGCTGTGGTTTGCCAATATTTTCTCTCATTTGGCTTTGGACTTTACCTACAGTGATTTTGGGCTTATAAAAGTCGGTTTTCTGTTTTGTTTTTATTTTGAGTAGTCAAACTTATTTATCTTTCTTTTTATCGCATCTGGATTTGGGAGTCCTTGTTGGAAAACCTTTCTCTGTACCCAGGTTATAGAAGAACTCCCCCAGGTTTTGTTCTAGTGCTTGAATTTTTACAGTTGAGATCTCTGATCCACCTGAGCTTTTTCTTAGACATGGTGTGAAGACTGGAACTACTTTTGTCTTTCCCAAAATGGCCATCTCGTTTTCTCAAAAGCATTTATTTCAAGCCCACCCTAGCCCCACTGATCTAAGACAGCACCTTTATCATATACTAAATTTCCATACATAGTTAGGCCTTTTTTTGGACCTTCTATTCTACTGATCTGTCTGTTCAGGCGCTAGTACCATAAAGTTTTAATCCTAGAAACTCTGTTTTATGTATTTTTTAAATTGATGAAACAAATAAAATGCCTAATTGGCCTGGCTGTTGAGAGCTGGTGCACAGAACCACAGGGTGAGGCGATCACTCCAGGCCTGGCGGGACCCACTGCCCTCTGCTTGCCCGACTCAACCACAATGTGCGGGAAGCAGTGATGAGACCGTCGCCATTGTCACCGCGGCTGTTACTGTTAGTTGGTGCAGGTGTCAATGGGGCGGCTTAGTTATTTCATTTCCGTAATTCTAAACCAAGCCGGGGCCCAACTCTGAAAGTGATAAAAGTCCAAGGCCTCCCTGCCAACTGGAGAGAGTCTTGCAGCTTATCACCCATCTCCATTTGGGACACCTTCTCCTGGGGGCGGGGGCCCTTGTGACCAGGCCACATTTCCACAGTCCCCTGTGTACTTCAGGTGGGGGGCCGCTGTGGTGTAATCCCAGATGGGCCCCCATACGCCATTCCTGCCCTGCAGCTGCCAGGAATGTGGCAGGAATGAGAGAGCACGTGGGGAGCAAGCCAGCCCACAGCAGCCACTGAGATCACTCCGGAGGCCAGCTGTGTCTGGGTCACAGTGATTAATGTGATGTTAATCCCAACAAAAATGAGGGGAGGGAGGCCCTGGGAGAACACTTGCAGTCAATATGTGAAAGACGCCACTCCCACCAGACTCATTCTCACTATGAAAAATCACCCTGCAATGACACAAGAAACCTGGCCTTTGGGCCAATCCTTGATGATTGGCAAAGCTCCTCCTTTTAAGCTAATTCAGCATCAAAACCTTTGGCTTGGAATCCGGCTTTAGGATGTGCCCACGGCCACAGTTCCAACAACCCACTTGTCTATGGGAAGAAAGGCCCCTGAGGCCTCTCCGGGGATGTCCGGTCACTGATAGAGCTCAGCCCTGGTTTCCTTCCTGAGGTGAGACCCAAGGATTCACCACCAGGACTGGGCCTCTCAGATGGCGAGGACCGGATCTGACATGCCCATCACCGTGGCTACGACTGAATTTGTGCACACGTGGGAAGGAAAGAAAAGCAACTGGAGAAGATGTGACCCCAAAGTGAGTTTTCTGTGCTGACCGGACACCTTCCAGATATGCTGGTTATATTCTCTCCTTCTAGGATTTTCATGGGCCTCGCTTGCCCAGGGAGCGACACAAACTGTACAGCAGAGGGAAACGAACCCCCTTCCCGGGAAGAGTGACACAAATGGCATCTTCTGGAAGGAACACCTTCCAGGGTCGCACCCCCCAGGGCCCAGCTGACTCACAGTGCTGTCGATGTATGCTTCCGTCCACACCACGTCGTGCTCTTGGTCAATGACTTTGGGCCGGCTGAGGACGTGGAGGTATTCCATGACGTTTTCCTGCACGTCGGCCAACGTGGAGATCTGGGTGAAAAATCCTGCCAAGGGAGAGCCCAGCTTAGTCACAGACAGACAGGGTGACCGCAGCCAGCGGCATGCGCGTGCCATGCCCTCCTGGCCTCCAGCTAATTGCTTTCCTTTTTTTCTCCTTCTACACATTCTGTCTCCTTGCTACCATCACCCACTTCATGAGTAATGTGTTCATGCTACAGAACAGACAAGCAAACGGGATAAACTGAAGATCAACCATTAACCCACCTTGCAGAGGTAACCTCTGTCAACCCTCTAGAGAATGTGGTCCCAGACTTTTTGTGCACACACACATATGCACCTTCCCTGAGGGAAACAGGGCTCCTCTGTAGGGGTGCATGACATTTTGTGCCTTTTTTTTTCACTTCAGTGAGTTTATTTCTAAAGGGAAAACTATAAACCACAAAATTTCAAAGCTGTCCCATTTTTATAATTATAGCAACAATGTTTACAATTAATTTTTGAGTGCTTACTAAGGGACACAAAATTTGCTCAATATTGCTTGGCTCAGTCACATTTATTCTTGAGAGTGAGAAGTGGCAGTGCGTGTGCCCACTTTAAAGACAGGTCATAGAGGTCCACTAAGGGTACGGGGTTCGCTTATGTTCTCCCAGGTGGCAGGTGGAGTCTCCTAACCTGTGCCTTTTGCTTCTCCAGAATTTTGCCCTTCATGTGTCTGAGACTAAATCCAGCTTATAGCCTCATGTGGTTAAGAGACCTGCCTTCTGAACATGCTGGGTAGACGTGGTTTCTCATCCTGGGGACGGGGACCCCACTTGCATCTCAAGTCCAGGGTACTGCGGCTCTCCTCTGCAGCCTGGGGGCCAGCTGGCTTTGCTCTAGGTCTGTCAGAAGGGAAGGGCGAGTGCATCTGGGGTCCCCAGGAGGGGCCCTTCATTCAAACACCAAGGGAAGGCTCTCCGGGTGCCTCAGGAGGGCCCCGGGAAAAGCAGGGATTGTCCAGATGAGCTTGGCCCTGCCTCCTGGGCCCCGGGAAGTCTGAGAACCAGACAACCACAGAACAGCACAGCCAGTGTTACGCTAAAGCACAGAGCAGGGCCCCTGAACCCTGCAGGATGGGGCCACTCAGCCAGTGGAAGAGGGGCTGCAGGGTGTGCCCTGCAAAGTAAGGCCAGGGTCAGAGTCTGGCACCTTCCAGGAACTGATAATCACTTAGAATGGCAGGAGGAAGGAGCTGGCGGAGAGGGCAGACACCAGGTGCTGCATGATCTGAGGGGCGAGCAGGCAACCGTCACACAGGACCGTGGGAAGGAGTTCAGACTTTATCCTACAGGCAGGTGTCAGGGAGGATTGAAGCTGTGGACACAGGATGGGTGGAGATTCACGTTCCCTCCCCTGCCTCTAAATAAAGACCCTCACAGCTTAGCTCATGCCAGTGCCCACTAGCCAAACAAATGCGAGGGGGTACGGGGGCTTCAGAAGCCAGGCCTGTCACAGCTCTTACTACAGTGTTTATGGAACCCCTCAGTGTCTAAAACCGAGCTCAGGGTAAGAAAGTGCCAGCCCTCCTGTTGCCCAGAAGGGGCTGGGACCCTCCCCTCCCAGGACATTTCCAAACAAAGGTCAACTGGTTTGAATTTGGTGTGCCAACCCCAAACCAGGTTGGGAGCATGTGGTTCTGGCTTCTTGAGGACAGCTCCGCCCGGTGCTAATTAACATGCACTGTTGGTCTTGTTGGCCCCGCCCTCTGGCTAGAGCCCCACCCACCCCAGAGAAATGGGCCTCCTGGGAGCACCCCTTCAGCCTGCGGCCTGGGCGTGGGGCCCGTGAGCGCGCTGGCACCACCCCAGAGGTCGGCGCCGCGGGCAGGGATGCCCATCTGGGACACCACTCTTGCAAGGCTCCCAGGTGTCCCCGCCCGGTGGTGCGGTGGGAATGCCCCGTTCTGAAGAGGGTTGGCAGATGACCGGCAGCCTGTAGGTCTCTCTCCATGCATGACAGCTGCAATCGGTGTTTGAATGAGGAAGAAAACATGCCTCCTCATCTCTAGTAGGCAAACCCTGGGGTCCCTCTGAGGGGAGGGCCTTCCAAAGACAAACAGACCCAGTGGACAAGCTAAGACAGCGGTTGCCATGTTGATAAAATACGGAGAGAGCGCTCTATGGCCCTGGCACATCCAGGCACACGGGGGAGCAGCAGGCAGCGGGCAGTAATTCCTGTCTGGGGTTTCTGTGCCGGGTGTGCGGTGAAGATGTTAAAGTGCATCCCTTGGAGGAGATTTACTTAGTTGTCTGTATTTTCATTCTGATCCTCAAAGCCACAGTGAAAATCCACAATTTGAGGTTTTCAAAACAGGCCCAAGAGGAAGAAGGGCATATGCAGGTGAGGAGGATGGGAGGGATGGATCTTTAGTGTAGACGGGCAGTGGCAGGAGAAGCCCTGGCACCCCTGGGAGGGGCTGAGCTGAGCGGGCACCCTCAGGGTGCTTGGCTCAGAATCAGCATTCTCCCCGGAGCTGCAGACCCGCCGCCAGCGAGAGCCCAGCACCCCCGTGGGGATGACCAAGAGGATTCTCACCGACTGCGGACAAGGCCCACTCCTGAATCCCCTCTCCAACCAGTTCCTCCCTGGGCGGGTCTCTCCCATCCCAGCACTCGGCGCCACTGCCCGGTTAGGCCGAGAACATCAAGAGTGCCTTTGCTAGCCATCATTCACTGCCCCCACCCCATAGCTAAGCCATGGCATGTTCCTTCGGCCCCTCCTCTAAAATATGCTTAAACCCACGGCCCCATCCCACTGCTCCAGCACCTCCCCAGGGCAGAGCCACCGCCTCCCCACATCTCCTCCCCACTATCCGGGCTCAGCACGGCACTTGGAGGGGCCATCTAGACAGCAGACCATGAGCCCCCTGCTTAAAATCCTGAAACAGCTTGAAATACAGAGCTCTTACCCTGATCCCAAGACTCTCCCTCACTGGCCCCGGCCCGCCTGAGGACCCTTGTCGCCGCTGCAGCGGGCTGACCCTTCCCCTCCTCTCACATGTGGGGCGCATAGCCCCTCCCTGACCCAGCACCCCCAGGCCTTTGCACATGTGGCACTTCTGCCTGGTGCACCTTTCACCCAGCTTTCCATGGCGGGTCCTGCGTGTCACTAAGGGTTCAGCTGTCTAAACTCATTTCCTCTCCCCCCACCAGCCTTCACTTTCTTCAGAAGAGTCATCGCTGCTGAATTCTGACTTGTTTGCTACATTCTCTTTCCCTGGACTTCCGGCTCCATGAAATGTCACCAAAAGCTGGACCCCTCTTGTCCAGAGTGGTGTTCTTAGAACGGGCACATGCATCTATAGGAGCCATTAGGAACTCGGGGACATTAGGCACGGTCTTCCTGTGATTCACCTCATCTCTCAGCGTGTGGGCAACCTGGCGGCCCCCAGTATGTGCTCACTTTTCAAGGAGGACATGGAAGCACAGAGGTCAGCAACTAGCCCTGAAGCAATCTGAAGCCATGCTCATCTGATTCCACAACCTTTTGCTCTTAACCATTGCAGACACTGCCTCTACCTGGATTGGGGAAGGACAGGCCCGGCTGCCCAGAGGCTCCCCTCCAGGAGGGCACCCCTAACACGCTGCTGGGGTGTCTGTGGCTGGCGGGGTTGAGGATGGCGTGGGAAATAAATGGTTCTCTGAGGCTCTCAGAAAATGTTCAACAATTAGCACCAAAGGTCTACTCAAACCCCAGGCCACACCGCTAGCTTATATTTCAAAATACAGACCAGGGATGTACATGTATGAGAAGAGAAGCTGCAACGATAGAAATACTCATAATGTACACTGAGAAGCTTACTGCAAATTTGATCACCCAACCCCAGCCCATCAAAACCTGAAACCTTTCTGAAAGAATCTTTTTTGTTTTTAAGTGTTTTCATTTAAGTTTTGGATGGATAACAGGAAGTCGCTGAGGTCCAGGCGTCTTGGCTGAAACCACAGACTCGTGCCTTATTTTCCCTCCGCACTCTCTGAGCCGGCCACTTCCCCCACCTCCCTTTTTATTTCTTTTACATTCTAGCTCTCGAATGTTTATTCTCTTCTCTAATGTGCCTTGCTGGACTTCATCTATCATGTAAGAGAGCAGAATCAGCAATCATTCGGTAATTACCAAGGAGTAATAAATGCTGAAATTAGCCATCTATTACCAATGGTCCGCTCGTTCGTCTATGTAACATTGGTTTATTTACCTAATTCCCTCGTGGAGTCTTCTGTGAACTCCGGGTCACGGCGGCTCCGTGCGGTACACCGCACACAGCCTGATCTTCTGCATTTCTGAAATGTCACCACCCTTGCGTGCAGATTTCGTAGGAGTCCCTCGTCTAGAAGATGCCTCTACACAAGACGCGCCAACAGCACATCGCTTTGCAGCGAGACTGAGCCTGCCATTCACCCGCCTACCCCTTGGGGAAGACCCTGGCAATGCACCTGACATGCATGGTCCTCCTTCCACCCCTGGGGTGCCAGGAACTTCTCCCTTTGGCTCTTTCTACACACTCATTTCTCCTCTTAAATAAGCCCGGCTGCAAGCAAGAAAGCCAGTGCTCAGATTGCAGTGAGGCGGGCAGAGAAGTGGGTGCTGTGACCTTGCCCGCCTGGGAACAACAGTGTCCTCAGAACACCCTCAAAATACTGTTGCATCTTCCTCCTCCCCATCAGCACCACTCACAGCTGAACAAGTGCTTCTTTCTGTAAAGAAACATACATTTAACAGACAGCTTTCTACCTCCAGGTCTCCTTGGACCTTCACAAACAATAGGCAAGGGCCTGGGGGCTGAAAAGCATGTGCTCAGCGCGGTGGAGAGAGGCAGTTAGGAGAACATGATGAGCGCAGGAGCCCAGCAGCCTCAGTGGGCATGTGCCCACCTGAGGAACCGGGCTCCTGAGGGTGTACCTGTCAGAATCAGCCAGAACCTCGGATTTAGGGACAAGTCCTTTGCGAATAGTGGTCCGCTTTTTATGTTAAATTCCACGTTAGAAATCATTGAAAGGATCATGCAGTG